GTTTTTTACTTCAAAATAAGATATGTGCAGTGTGCGTAGGAATTTGTTCATAGTTTTTTTTTTAAACTATAGTCTGGCCCTCCAACGAGTCTGAGGGACAGTGAACTGGCCCCCTGTTTAAAAAGTTTGAGGACCCCTGCATTAGAGAGATGCAAACCAAAAGCATAATGAGGAACCAGTTCACTCCCATGAGAATGACTGAGATTAAAAACATAATTAAAAATTGAAAAAAGGTTGTTGAGGATGTGGGAGAATTGAAACCCATGTCCATTGCTGTGGAAATGAAAACACGGTGCAGCTCGTGTGACAAACGATGGTTCCTCAAAACTCTGGAACTAGAACTACCATTATGACTCAGCAATTGTACTCCTGGGTCGGTACCCTCAGGTCTGAAAGCAGCGACCCAAACAGATGGAGGTATCCCAGTGTTTCACTAAATATTCACCAGCAGCAGAAGAAACAAAACGGACTGCCATGGAGTTGATTTTAACTCATAGCAACCCTATAGGACAGGATTTCCAAGACTGAACTTTTCACAGGAGTAGAACCTGCTGACCTTGAGGTTAGCAGCCCATTGTGGAACCTACGATGCCCCCCAGGCTCCCAGTGTCAGGAAAAGGAGGAGGACATGGAGTGTGTGACTACTTGGCTCCATGAGCAAGGGCCTCCTTTGCCATAGATTAGAAGATCAAATTGCCATGAGTATAAAAAGGTTTCTTTGATAGCACAATAAAGACTGACTTAAGGGTATGTGGTATTAGAGGCAGGGAAGTCAGGCCTTCTCAATACTCCAAATTAAATGAGCATTTCATTGAAAACAATAGTGTTTGGTGTGAAGGGATGAGAAAAAGTGGGCTAGGCGTGGTCACTTGTTAACATGAAGGAAAATGCTTGCCTAGTTTTGGATGGGGAAAACTGATTGTTTTATAGTATCACTGACCAGAATGGAGGGACCACCCCCCCCTCCCCCATCAGGAACAGGTTGGAGAGAAGAAAAATATCGAGCGTGGTTGACGGGTTGTACGTGCATTTGGGTGGGAGGTAAAGAATGAGGCTGATGTCTGGGGGAGCAGGCCTGGACTGTGGGTGGAGATTTGAGAGTCATCAGGGAACAGCATGTAAGAGAAGTAAGTGGAAAAATACAACTGGTGAAACAGCACAGCAATCGGCATAGAAATGAAGAGAAAGACTTTCTTCAAAGAGAGGGAACGACCATTTCCTGTCATTCAGAGAAGATAACTAAAGGCTGAAAAGATCCTGTTGAAAATAGAAATTAAACCTCTGTCTTTCAACTTTTCTCTCTGATTAATTTGATCTATAGCTTCAGCTCCATTTTGTTTTTCTACAAAACACGTGTCTGTAGTGAATTCTCCTGTAACTCGTAAGCAGGGGACCTGGCATTGATACCAGTATTGGTCTGCCTATTGTTAAAGCCCGTTTTCTTAGCTCTGCCCCTCACTTTCAGATTTTTTTCTCTGAGTTCAAGACAAATTGTTGAATCTCACCCATTTCCCCCGCTTTCCAACAGCCACAATACGAGAACACTTCACTTCAGGGGCCATTTTCAGAACCATCAGTATCTAATTCCCAGCAGGAAGAACTTGAACAAAAGCTAGCCTCGGCTGAGAAAGAAGTTTTACAGCTCAATGAGTTTCTCAAACAGAGACTAACCCAATCTACTGAGGAGAAGAAGAAACTGGAGGAGAAGGTAGGCATTTTAATAAAGTTTTATGAGATCAGCATTTCTTCACCAAATAATTTGTCATCTACATTATCACCAAGTTTTACATTTATGTGGAAGTAATTAGTTTTGTGGAAACTTAAAAAAAATACTGATGCTATCAGCATGAATATTATCTCATTCTAACTAATAATGGAGTCTTTTTAAGTCAGTTGCTTCCAGCTGCCCTGTGTAGTTGATGGGTTATCAAAGGCTGTCCTTGTCCCGCTTTCTTTGTCATGTTAAACATGTTGTTGTTAAGTCAATTCCAATTCACAACAAAACATTCTCTGGTCCTGTATCATCTTTAAGATTATTTGAGCCCATAGTTGTAGCCACTGTGTCAAATCAATCTCGTTGAAGATTTCCCTCCCTTTGACTCTCAACCAAGCCTCATACCCACATCCAGGGACTGGTCCAAACTCCAAAGTACGTGAGACTAGGTTTTGCCATCTGGCTTCTAAGGAGATTTTAGCTGTCCTTCTCCCAACACATACTCATTCATTCTACTGGCAGTCTATGGTATACTCAGTATTCTTCACCAACTTAGAACTCTATTCAAAGACAGCAGTTTTTCTTCCTTATTTGTAGTCCAGCTTTCAGATACGATGGCTTGGGTCAGGGTTACAGACCTTAGTCCTCAAAGTGATATTTTTGCACTTTAAAGAGGTCTTGTGCAGCATATTTGCCCAATGAAATATGTCTCCTGATTTCTTTGACCACTGCTTCCATAGGCATTGATAGCATATCCAAGTAAAATGAAATTCTTGATAACTTCAGAATTTTTCCCATTTATCATGATGTTACTTATTGGTCCAATTGTGAGGGTTTTTGTTCTCTGACGTTGAAATGTAGTCCATACTAAAAGCTGTAGTCTTTTAACTTCATTGGGTAGTGTTGTTCCAAGTACTTTTCCTTCAGAAAGTAAGGCTGTACCATCTGCAGTACAGTGAGATCTGTATGAGTATCTCTTCAGTCTGTTGCTGTATTCTTCTATAGCCCAGCTTCTTGTATTATTACATAGCATACAGATTGAATAAGTAGAGGAAAAGGACATGATCTTGACCCACACCTTTCGTGATTTTAAATCACACAGTATCCTTTGGTTCTATTAGAATGGATGCCTTTTAATCTATCAACAGCATCTGTATGAGCACTGTTACGTGTTCTGGAATTCCCATTCTCCTCAGTATTATTCATACTTTGTTATGATACACATAGTCAAATAGCTTTGTGTAATTGTCAATTAAACACAAACATCTTTCTGGTATTCTCTGCTTTCTGGCAAGATCCATTTAACATCAGCAGTTATATCCCTTGTTCCACCTCCTCTTTTGAATCTGGCTTGAATCTCTCCCATTTCTATGTGAATGTACTGCTGCAACTATTTTTTAAATGCTATTCAGCAAACTTTTACTGCTGTGTGATATCGTTCAATAATTTTATCATTCTGTTGGGTCACCTTTCAGTGGAATGGAGCAAAATGTGGATCACTTCAAGTTAGTTGGCTAGGTAGCTGTCTTTCAAGTTTCTTGGCGTAGACACCTGGGTACTTCTAGTATTAAGTATATTTTGTGAAACATCTCAATTGGTAGATATTCAATTCCTAGAGCCTTGTTTTCACTAATGCCTTCAGTTTAGCTTGGACTGATTCCTTCTATACCATTGTTTCTTGATCATATGGTACTTCTTGAAATGGTGGAACATTGACAGTTTTTTGTATTTTTTTGTATTATAACACTGTATTTCTATCTTGGATATTTCAAGCATTCCATTTCATTTTTACAATTTCCAATTTTCCTAGATTCAAAATATGTTGAGCATGAAGAGTTAGTAAGTAATGAAACTGGTCTTTGCTGAGCAGAAAACTTGAAGTTGCTTATAGGGAAAATTCTGATTGCTTATACCAGGGGCACCCAAAGAAACCCAGCAAAAAGCTCTGCTGGCTAGATCTTTTGTACTATGCATTTTCTTGCTAGGCGAGCATCCAGCAACTTGCTCGGAGGTAGTGCACCCAGTGGTGTCGACTGGGAAAGTTCTCTTTGGTCACAGTGAATTTTTGCATAAAAGTAGTTTCACTTGAACCTTGTGTTTGTGATGGCCAATTTAAGAGAACAGTGTGTAGCTGTGAAATTTTGTTTCCTGCTCTGGAAAAATGCTGCAGAAACTTGTGATGTTGAACACAGCTTACAAGGACAGCACTATGGGGAAAAACTCCAGTGTACAAGTGGTTTTCTCTTGTCAAAAAGGTGAAATGTCAATTGATGACAAACCTCGACAAACCTCGTTCTGGACATCTGTCACTTCCCGAATGTACAAAAATTTTGACAAAATGTGTGCACTTATAATTGAAGACTGATGACGGACCATTGAAGAGAGGGGGAAGTTATCTGGACTATCTTGGAGCTTGTTTCAGTGAATTTTAACAGAAAATTTGGGAATTGAGAAGGGTTAGGATCACTGCAAAATTTGTGTCTCGGGTTCTGACTGACCAGAAAAAAGAGTGTTGACTTTTAGAAATATGCCATCCTTTGAAAGAACAGCTCCGAAGCGACCCAGACTTTTTCCCAAGGTCATTACTGGTGACAAGACATGGTGCTATTCTTATGACCCCGAAAGCAAACCAATCAAGCCAGTGGAAGATGCCATTGCACCTTCCCCTAAAAAAGCTCATCAAGTGAAATTAAAGATCAATATGATGCTCATTTTTTTGTTTTGGATGTGAGGGGATAGTGCATTGGAGTGTCTTCCACCAGGTCAGACTGTTAACCAAGCTTTCTATTTAGAGGGTCTGAAAAGATTGTGTAACAGTGTGTGACAAAAAAGGCCTGATTTGTGGCAGACTGGGGACTGGTTTTGCCACCATGACAAGGTACCTGCTCATGCAGCCATCTCAGTGAGCTAGTTTGGCAAAAAACACATGTCTCTCTTACCCCACACACCTGACCTCACTCCATGCGACTTCTTTTTGTTTCTGAGAATGAAGAGGGACATGAAAGGACAGCTATTTGATGATGTAGAAGAGATGAAAAAAAAAAACAAACCCCAAATCAAATGAGGGAGGTACTGTCAGCCATCCAAACAGATGAGTTTGAAAAATGTTTCCAAGAATAGAATTGCATATTTGACAAATATATCAAGTATGAGGAAGATTTTGAAAGTGATAAGATAATTTTGTAAAAAATTAAAAAACAGCTTTGAAAAAATAAGTTAGGTTTTTTGGGAACCCCCTCTTAAATAGCTGAAATCTAAATATACTCACATCACACACACACACACCTATTTTCTGCCCTTGACAGGATGCAAAAATTACTATTTTACTCTTGCTTAGTTTCGTGGGAAATAGTTGAGTGTTTTCTCGTGACATGTTGACATATTTCCACCTGACACAGGTAGGAGCCATGCTCATCCTAATTTACTGGAGAATAAGTGTGGCACCAATTCCTGGGCTGCTAATTACTGGCAGACTGGATTTAGACTTATCGTGATCTACCTAGTGTATTGTTTGAATAATTAAGTCTTCTACTCAAACGATGTTAGAGGAGCAGGTCTCCATGATTTTTACAGCAGGTTTGGAGATATTAATTGAGACACAGTTGATAAATCTTCACGTGAGTGTGTACGAATTGTGTGATTTGAAATTTTTATCTTCCAAAAGAGACAAAGAACTTCCATATCCCATCTTTGTCAGATGTGTGGTTCTGCCTATTGCTCATGCTTTGTACAGTTCCATGGTTCAGAGAAAGTACTCGGGAAATACTTGCTTGTGTCAGACAGACTTTGGAGGACTGAAAGAGTTCCCTCACCCTGGGGGTTTTAATTAAGAGAGTATGGTAAACATTTTTAACAGATTTTACTAATGCATCTACTGCTTAATAAAATCAATTTATACCCCTTTTACCTATTTGACAACTCCTGCTTTGATGTCTCATAGGTTATTTCAAACTTCATGTTTAAAATGCCATTCTTAAGCTACCTTCTGATTGCCCCTCACAAGTCTGAATGAAACAGGCCCACCCCACCCCCAGTATTCATTGCTGCTGATTCAGTTCCACAAGCTAGAAAGTTAATTATGTTAGGAAAGCCCTTGTCGAAGATAGAGAATCTATTACCAAAGTTTTTAAATTTCTTCTTAATATCTGAATCCACTCTTGCTCTGTCTGCTGCCCCCATTCTTTACGTGTTATATACAGTAAAATATACACATCTCAGGTGTCTTATCACTGTGAAGTAACTGTCACCCCAAGTGGGACACAGAACCTTCCCATCACTCTGGACAGTTCTCTTTCTTTTCCAAGATCACATTTTAAAAAGTTCTCGGTAAGCTCTGTGAAGACTAGGACTGTATTTGCATGTCTCATTATAATATATGCAATAGCACCAGCCATGGTGTCTTGAGTATTGTTTAATTAATTAGTGAGTGAATTCGTTTACGTGATTCTTGCTATGAGGGAAGAAAGGAGAGCAAGTCAGTTCCAAGGAAAAGATGTCCGCGGAGGCCCGTGCTGGATGGCAGCTCCTAATTGAGATAGGGAGAGGTTGCTAACAAGTGCCGGGCTGGACAATCCAGTACTGAATTCTTAAGGCTGGTAAACAAAAGTTGTGTGACACCACAAGCTGGGTGACATAACAACAGACATTTATTGTCTCATAGTTTTGTATGTGGGACTCCAGAATCGGAGTGTCTGTCATAGTGATTGCTTCTGTGGCCCCAGGGACAAATCTGATCCACGTGGCCTCACTTCTGGCACCTCCAGGTCTTTGTTGGCTTGCAGCTACAGCATCACACGCCTCTGCTTTTGTCTTCCTGTCTTTCCTAAGGACGTCAGTCAGAGGGAATCAGCAGCTCTCAAACCCATCTGTGAATGAAATAGGAATGGAAAGGTACTTGACAAGGGGTGAATGTAGAGGGTGCAGTTGAGATCAGAGGGCTGCAGGCACGCGTGAGAAAGGATGGCATTATTTCCTTGTGTGTGCCTGCCACCATCCAGACAGGACAAGAGCATTTAATACCATCGTAAGAATAATAAAGCAGTTAGTTTCCCTATGCTGAGCTCTTTTTTCATAAGACTCAGACACCATGTTAATGTGCATTAAATGTCCTCATCAAATCATACTTTATAGAGAAACCCTATGAAATATAGATCATAGCCCCATTTTAAGAGGGGGTAACTGAGCCTCAGAGGGAAGTTGAGTAACTTGAAATTGTAATTCTATTATAGAGGAAAGAATGTTTCACTGAACTATTTTATTATAAAGATAAAAAAGTTTGTAAACCTTTCCTAATATAGGACCTTCCTGCTGCTTTTTAGGAATGATCTCAGTAATAATTCCTGAAAGAAAAAAAAAAGCAGAAAACTTAACCATCAGTAAGGATATATAAATACACGTGGAAGATTTCGGGGCTCATACATTTATTGCCATCATCATTCTCAAAACATTTGCTTTCGACTTGAGCCCTTAATATCAGTTCATTTCCCCCCTCCCTCATGAACCCTTTGTAATTCATACACTGTCCGACGTTTCCCTTCACCCACTTTTCTGTTGTCCATCCCTTTCTACTCCACCTTCCATCCACCCTCTAGGTATTGCCACTCTTACCACTGGTCCTGAAGGGGTCATCTGTCCTGGATTCCCAGTTCCTATCTGTACCAATGTACATCCTCTGGTCTAGCCAGATTTGTAAGGTAGAATTGGGATCATGATAGTGCGGGGAGAAAGCATTTAAGAACTAGAGGAAAGTTGTGTTTCATTGTTGCTAACCTGCACCCTGATTGGCTCGTCTTCTCCCAGCAACCCTTCAGTAAGGGTGTGTCCAGTTGCCTACAGATGGGCTTTGGGTCTGCACTCACCCACTTTTACAATGATATGATTTTTTATTCTTTGATGCCTGATTCCTTGGACAGCTCATGGTCACACAGGCTGGCGTGCTTCTTCCATGTGGGTTTTGTTGCCTCTAAACTAGATGGCCACTTGTTTATCTTTTAAACCTTTAAGACCCCAGCTGCTGTATCTTTTGATAGCTGGGCACCATCAGCTTCATTCACATGTGGACGATTCTTAGTGATGCCTCATTTGTAGATAATTATTGGAGTTCAGATGTCTGTGAATCTGAAACAATAGAAAAATTGAAAATTGGAAGAGGTGGGGGGGAAAGCTCATAAGTTTGCAGGATTGAAAATTCCAAGCCACAGGGATATGTGATCAGCAAACATCTGGTATCCGATACGAGAGTGCCGACAGAGATTTATGATAAGGGGAACAAGTTGACATGACAGCAAGAAAACAGTCAACTACAAGAAAACTAGGACAGATACCTTTTTGTTTTAGAGATAGTATGCTTAACTTATTCCAGTAGCTGCTTTTTAAGAACATTATTTTGTTACATTTTAACAATTCGGAATTAGGGAGCATTTTGCAAAACTAGGCTGGGTAGTTATATTTACTTCTGTAACATTTGCTAAGCCATCACAGGCGTGGTTGATGAGGACTCCAGGAACAGCTAGTTCCTAGGCAACTGAGTGGGTGAGGAGCCCAGTATAAGGGCTTGTTATTGTATACCATTAAGTCAATTCCCAGCCACAGTGACCTTACATGACTGAGCACATCTGCCCCATCGGGTTTCCTAGACTGTCATCCTTTCAGGAAAGATTCCCAGACCCAACTCCTAATGGAAATGCCAGCAATTTAAACTCTCCAATTGCTTTGCAGGAAAAAGGACCCCATAGGGACTAGTCTGAAAGAATCCAAAGAGCGTTGACTTTCAGTCCATCAGAGTTTAAATCTATCGATATAGATTTCAGTAACATCACTAAAGGCCCTTGGACTTCATATTTTAAAAGGGAATGAATGCTGTTAAATGTTCTTTGAGGTCATTCCCAAACTCAAACCATTGCTATCCAGTCTTTATTACTCATTGCGACCCTAAGCAGAGTAGTATTGCTCCCTAGGGCTTCTGCAGCCGTCAGTCTTTATGGAAGCACACAGCTTCGTTTTTCTCCTATGGAGTGGCTAGTGGGTTTGAACCATAGGCCTTTGGGTTAACATCCCAGCACTTAACCCACTGCCACACCAGGGTTGGTTGGGGGTTTTATCTACTCCCATCTGTTATGTTATGGCGCACCAGTATAACTCATCTAGTCTAAGAAAGACCAATAATGATAGAATTTTCTTCCTCTTTTACCAGAAAAGGTAGTAAACAGAATCAAAACCAAGGTGTTGCATTGGTTAAGCCCTCAGCTACAATCCAAAAAGTTAACATTTAAAACTCTTGAGCCTCTCCATAGGGGAAGGATGTATCCATCTGCTTCCATAAAGATCACAGCCTTGGATTCCCTATGGAGCAGTGCCACTGTGTATACTTAAAGGGTCACTGTGAGTCAGAATTGACTCAATAGCAATGATGGGTTGTGTTTGTTTGTTTGTTTTTAAATGTATCCTGACTTGGAAGAAAGGCCAGACATTCTGCTTCCAAAAGTCATCCATTTAAAACTCTATGGAAGATAGTTCTGCATACAGGCTTGCCATGAGCCAGAGTCAACTCCACAATAACTGGTATTACTGATTTATTAATGTTGATGATAGATAAATTATTGATGCTATTGATGGAATGAGTAGAGGAAATGAGATACAATTCATTTTCTCAATTGAAGTTGTTGTAATAAATGTTTTTATGCCTGAAAGAAATTAAGCAAAGTATGAAAAGAAAGGATATTGTAGACAAGTGTTAGCTTTAATACAATTAATCACCAGCAAAATAAGTGGTAGTATTAGTAAAAATACTTTAGAAAGCGCACTGACTGTTTGGGATATTGGTAATATGAGTCTGAAGCTAGCTACCTACCTTTTAGGCAGCCTTTCATGTACAGCAGGAGTCCTGGTGGTGCCATGGTTAAGGGCTGGACATTTGAACCCATCAGCCACTCCATAAGAGAAAGGTGTCTACATCTACAAAAAGTGAAAAACAAGAAAGCAAACTGCCTCTGGAGTTTATTACAAGTCCCAGCCACAGAGGACAGAGTAAAAGTAACCTGGAGGGTTTCCAAGGCTCTAGATCTTTACGGAATCCGACTGCACATCTTTCTCCCCTGGAGAGACTGGTGGGCTCCAACCACAACCCTAACCACTGCAGGATTCCGTAAGAAATACAGCCTTAGAATCCCAATGGGGAAGTTCTACTTTGTCCTATAGAGTTGCTATGCATTTGTTTTAAACTTCTTAAGGAGTCTAAAACAAAATCCATATTGTTTTTAATTGCTATTAAGTTTAAATAAAAAAATTAATAAATAGGCCACATGTCAGGTGATAACCTACCCGGTGTCATTTAGTGGAGTCCAACTCCGAGCAGCACTGGGTAAGGTTTCTGAGCCTTTGCAGCTGTGCACAGCAGATAGCGGCACCTTTCTCTCGAAGAACGACTGTGGTTCTGCCATGTCGACCGTGGTGTTAGCTCACCCCTAACTCACAGTGCCACCATTCCCTCACCTCCATCAAGTCGATTCTCATGCACAGCAACCCGATATAGGTTTTCTGAGGCTGTTAGTCTTCATGGCACCCAACAGCAATTTCTTCTCCCATGGAGCGGCTACCGGGTTTGAAACGTATGGACCTTGGACTTAGTAGGCCAATGCTTACCTGGCAGCACCACCAAGGCCCCTTCAGTGCCGTTATTGGGCATTACAAACAACAACAGCAGCAGCTAATACACAGGGATTTACTAGGACCATGTGTAGTAAATGTTCTGTGTTGTTAGGTGCCACCGAGTCAGTGCCTACTCATTGTGACCTTGTGTACAATAGCCATCTTCACAGTTGTTCTGTTTGAGCCCACTGTTGCAGTCACTGTGTCAGTCCATCTTGTCAAGGCTATGAAGAGGGTATTAAGTAGGCCCTAAGTTAGCATAGTTCATCAATCCCAAGACAACATAAATGTTAAGACACGCCTTGCTTTTATGTACCTCTTAGAAAGAAAATGTGCTGCAAATTCAGTTATGCACAACGCTTTAACAGTAGTCTTGCTTGAGTCATGGATTGGTCTCACTAGTCTCTCATCTGGTTCTAGGGATTTGGTAAGTTCTGGCTTTAGTTGCATTGCTTAGTTCATGATGAGCAATCCCTTTGCATGTCTGTTAGTAACAAAAGAGCTTTGATTGCTTGAAGGTGTCTTCCTTCCTTAGTTCGCATCAGGCATTTAATACAGCTACACAAAACAATAAGAAATTCCAGTCAATCCTCCAGATAGGAATATTTGCTTCACTGATTTAAAAATATTGTACTCTCAGACTCTTTGTATCTTTCTGAGTGGCCAATAACTTTTGTTTTGATGTCTAATTTTAATGTAACATTTTGAAAACATTTTAAACTTCATTTAAACTCAACTCGTCTTTTCAACATGTACAAAACACATTGGCAGTGATAAAGATGTGGACAGCCTTGACCATTTTGTACATGTGTAAACAGTGACAACTAATTGATGACTGCCTTCCAGCTAACTGCAGTTTATAAGGTACCACCAAACAAAGAAGAAAAACCCGAAATGTTTCTGATAGGGAAATTTTAAAGAAATGTGTATCTTTGAATTGATGAAAAGAAGCGTATCTTAATTAAGTTGTAGAACTATTGGTGAAGTCAATGATGCCTTGGATCGGAATGTTGATTTTGTATTTATTTAATAACATAAAGCCATTAAAGAGTCTTAATATTTTTTTTGTAGCTTAAAACCAGAGATAGGTACATCAATAGCCTGAAAAAGAAATGTCAGAAGGAATCTGAACAAAACAAAGAGAAGCAGAGAAGAATTGAGACCTTGGAAAAGTATCTAGCTGATCTGCCAACCTTAGATGATGTACAGAGTCAGAGTCTGCAGGTAACATGAAATGCTCATCTTCCAACCATATGAAAGCCTGGGAAGTTTAAGTTGACTCTTTAGAAATCTAGCAACTTTTATAGTTTAGTTTTTATTTTGGTGAATTATAAGTTAAATACTTGTGTTTAATTGCTGTTTTATGAACTGAACTTTAAATCAGAAATGTTTGTCATCTCAGCTTAAGTAGCTCTTTCTTACTGGTAGTTGATATGCACTTCCCAGAGAACTTGCATGGTAACTCTCTCAAAGTTTTACTCTAAGGGTAGTTTTTAAACCACTGTAATTCTTCTCTCTTCCCCTCACAGCATTTATGTTTGGCTTTCTCCATATTCTCTGGGCTACATTGAGCGAGCCAGTGCTGGCAGGGCTCTTCCACTTGGCTTCTCCTGCTGCAAGGCTCTAGGCTAGTTCCATGTGTCTCTCGGGGAGTCAGCATAGAGAGAAGAGTGTCTCCAAGGAGGAAATCCAAGATTACCCAGAATCCTCAGGAAAAGTCCATGCCCACACTGAGCCTTCATTGGCTATATGCTATTGACAGGCTAGACTTTACCCCTTCACTCTTAATCCTCAAATTGATACCAGATTATGTAACTACCACAACTGTCTTACCAGATACTTGATTAATTTTCCTCAGTTTCCTTAACCTTTCCATAGAGTTTTCATACTTTGATCTACGACCTCCATTTACTCCTCTGACTTCTGACCATTTTCCTTAATAAAAATCTCTTGTAAAGTCTTTCTACTAATTTTGGGGAGGACTGCCCTTTTAACCTTATTGATATATCTGTGAAGCCTATTCTTCAGTCAAAGGTCTGTCCAATCAAAAGTTTTGACCTCAGCACTCTTTACCTTTGAAGACTGATCATGGGTTTGCAGGAGAGGCTGTCCTGTGCCTTGTCGGGTGTTAGCACTCCTGGTCTCTTCCTGCACGACGGCCAAAGCGCTGCTCTTTCCCCTCCTCACCCAGCCTAACATGTCAGCTGACATTTCCAGATGTCTCTTGGTGGGGAGAATCACAGGTTTAATGCACAAAAGGTCATTATTCTGCAGACTGTAGATCTACACAGTGTTCTCTATTTTACATTCATTTAGAAGTTGAAAAGCCAGAAAAGGATTAAAGAAGAAGCGCAGGAGTTGGCATCAGCAGGGACAGAACAATACAGATTTAAAAGACACGAGACTGTTCTCTTTTCTCTCTCTGACATTTAGAAATGTCTGACCTCATTCTCTTCATCTTCACGATTCTGTTCTTCCAGTTCTCTTCCACACAAAGGGGGAGGTCTCGAGAAAATAAGAACTGAAGATGAAATGAAGACACTGATTTTAACCACCATCTTCATCTCACCATAATTCTTGAATAGAACAAGAATTTCTAGTAGAAGCATGCTTAAATACAATCCATGTGTTTACTTTTTTTTCCCCTCTCCAGCTTCAGGTTCTAGAAGAGAAAAATAAGAATTTGCAAGAGACTTTGATAGATATGGAGAAAAATCTTGAAGAGATCAAGAAACAGTGTCAAGAGAAAGAAGCACAGCTAATTTGTCAGAAAAATAAAGAAAAGGAGTTGGTAACCACAGTACAGAGGTAAGAAACCTGCAGCAAATATTATACATTAATTTAAAATTACTAAAACTTCTCATAAGTATTTCATGTTAAATACTTGCAGCATTGCTGCATTGTTCTTTACTATATACTGGTAAGAACCATAAGAATAATGTTATTGAAACAAGTTGTCTCAATTTGACATCTCCATGGAGCAGGTGCACATCTTGCCAGGGGGTTCTGATGAGAGTAGTCTGTACCGTTGAATGTCTGGAAGTGTTTGTACAAATCTTTTATCTGCTGGCCTTGTTAAAAAATAGATAAAAAAAGACTGCAAATATAAAATGGCATTTAATAAAGTGTAATTGACTCATTGATTTTATCTTCTGTGAGCAACAGGTACAGGGTTTTTGACTTATGCCTTCACATTGACTCAAGTGTTCTGCCTTATGGGGCTTTAAAAAATTAATCTAGTTAGAATTGCAGTTAATTTAATTTATTAGTATCTTTAGCTAGTGTATTTAAGCTGGGAAATTGCCATTGAAATCTTGAAAAGTCAGAAGAACTATGCTTATGTGTATGTGCACATGTACTTTTTAATAAAACTTAAACCGATGTCTAGATTGTCATCTGCCAATAGATAAAACTGTTTTCAAGATTAAGCTAAAACTAAAGCTTTATGTAACAAATACATTCTTGGCACACCTATATCAATTAAGCATCTCGCTGTTCTTGCTCAGAGAATTCCATGCTATCCTGCCTGACTGCTCCTTTCAAAGGCTTCAGTGTGCTTGCTTCACATTTCCCCTTGGCTTTCAGTGCAGAAAATCTCTGCTTCCTGGGACATTCAGTCTGAAGTGTTCCTAACAGAAGTTCGAAAATGTAAAATTATGTACGTTTCATTCTACCATTATTTTTCTCCTTTGTGCGTTATATACTCCTATGTGCAATGCACTACCTTTCCATCCTCTTTTCTACTCTCAGAACAGCTCCGTGGCCTCCAGTAATTCAACTGTACATTTTTTCTTTCATCTTTTTTAATAGGAGGAGATAATATAAGTGGTCTGTTTTCTAAAGCATTATGATTATAAACAATCGATATGATCTTATGTCAGCACAATTAAAAGTGCTTGAAAAGTATTATGATATATGCATTTACATATGATTTTGGGTTATTACATTTTCTTTTTAATTAGGTTTTTGGAGACTATTGAGTCTCGTTCTTGGTGTGGAAAATATTTAGTGCCGTGCATGTCCAGAGAAAATTTTCTGAAGTTGTTCAGTAATTGTATGACTCTGGTGTCAGGTGACTTTGGGAGAAGGGCAGGTTATCTCAGCACTGTAATAAATGATTTCTTGTTCTGTAATAAAATATTCCCAAGGAACTTAAGATATATGTTTGACTATTTAAGAACTATTGGTATTATAAATGAAATAAAGTTTTCCATTAGAGAAGTGTGTGGGTGGAACCACTACTAAGTACCTCTGCTATTAGTGAATGAATTTATTATTTTCCTATGTGAATATACTTCATAATCTAAAAATACATGCACGAAAGAAAACTTATTTTGTATTTTCCCATGACCTAGTTTGTTTTTATCTTTTTATAACTGACTGTGTTTGTATGTAAGATGAGGGATACGTGATTATTTTTAATGTGTTAAGTGCATTTCTGAAATGGTATAAATACATAGAAGTTGTTTGTTGACACTAAAGTGGGAAAAAGTATTCTAAAATATAAGTAATTTGTTTTTCACTTTGAGCGTGAAAAAAATGTCTGTAATGAAAAGCAATAAGGTAATACAAGATAGTATGCACTACATTAGTAACATAATAACCTCTTAAGTGCCATTAGTTACAACATCTGAAGCCCTTGTTGCATTAACAAGGACTGCTAGTTTTTTTGTCCAAAATTAGCATATACTATTTCTTCTTTTTTGAAAGAAAGTAAAAATATAACAAAGCTATAATACTTGAAAGAAGAAATAAAATGATAGCAAAATCCAAATTATGAGGACCTGTTTAGTGCTATACAACTCCTGATTATGAATACAGGCTAAAACAGGACTAATCCTTGTTTTCTTGCTGCTGATTTTATTTTTGTTTTGGCCATCCTTGCTGATGTTCCTTTAACCTAAATCTTCCTCCTTCATGGCTAGCCTCTCTTTTTTTTTCCCCTTTGTTTTAAAAATTTTAATTTGACAAAGAGGCAACTTTTTGTTGTTTCCGCTTCAAAAATGCAAAAATGTTAGGTCCAGTAATAGACCAGAAGAGGTGTAATTTGGGTTGTTTATGGGCAACATGTCCTTCTTACAAGTCAACTTTTTCTGAGTTGAGAATCAAGGGCAAAGACTTACCTGGATTCTTGAGCTTCTATCGCAGTCCTCTTAACCAAGAAATTCTTTAGTTTCACATAGACAGGAAAGAAAGGTGTTGGATTAAAGAGTAATGAGGGCTCTCACTCGGGCCCCTGGGACCTAAGGATGCCACTTAACAACTAGTGTCTCTGATCTCAAATTTACTGTTTCTGAAAAGATGATTGGCAGCTCTCTGACTATGATCACCACTTACTCGTATCTACCTGCATGTATGAAATACAGGTCTTCACATGTACGCATCTCCTGTTTCTGGGTTTTGATTTATTATTGCTCCATTAAGAAGTGCTTTAGACCCCAAGACGGCCCTTCTGCTATGCTGCAGTCACCTGGAAGACCAGACTCAGCAAGCAGACTTCATTTTATCTTTCTAAACAGTCTACAGCAAAAAGTGGAAAGGTGCCTTGAAGACGGGGTCCGTCTGCCCATGTTAGACGCCAAGCAGCTCCAGAACGAGAACGAGAACCTCCGAGAGCAAAACGACAGTGCGAGTAAGGTCTGTGGTCACGGGTGACAGTAACTGTGAACCCCGCACCGGGTCCAGGGGGCCTCGTTCATAGCTTTCCTTAATCACGTGTGTGGGGTTTAGTGTGTGTTCTTATTCAGAGAGAACAGAGCCCTTTAAGTAAATTTAATTAATTTAAAAGCCAAAAAAAGATATTCCTCCACTTCTCAGGTAAAAACACGGGATCTTTTTTATCTGTCTATATATCTAAATTATCCAAGGTCTGTGTCTGTTATTTTATTTTATTTTTATAATTGGTATAAGCTAGAGAAGAGTTTTATCATGACCTGGAGGAAGACTTGCATTTTACATATATGCAGTCTAAATCCTATGTAAAGAAAACATGGCACAAATACTTTTATTAAATAGTTCTTAACAAAGAACTGGTCACTTCTTGGTTTTCTTAAAGTATTTGTACTGGTATTAAAGCAACGGGAAAACACTGATTTGATTCAAACTGATTGTTATTTCTTGTCTTTAGATAATAGGCAGCCAACAAGATGAGATCGACGGAATGATTTTAGAAATTCAGGTACGGAAAACTTTGTGCTCCTTTTAGTTATAGGTTGCTCTGTAGCTCACCTGGCATCAATTTAACATACAAATATAGAAAGAGATAATGTTGATAGAAACATTTGGTGAAGTTGAACATATTTTAATATTACTTTGCTTTTATAGAAAGAAAATGCAATTTGGCAAGTCAGTTCTGAAAAATATCCAATGCTCTCCTTTTAATCAGTCTGTCTAATTAACTGTTATCTTCATTCCTAGAACCCATTTGGCTAAAGTCATCAATATCCTAATAGCTACAAACTAAGGGCTGTTTTGAGTTCATGTGTTATTTTGTGTTGTACACTTTTTTCTATTTCACAGAATAGCCATACCACTTATCCAAGTCTTCTGTCAGATTCTCTTTGAGCTCCGTCCTATCCCTTAGATAATTGCTGTCACACAAGTCTCTCTCTGTACCTCCCTGGTTCCCCATTGATAGAGCATAATACAAATACTGGGGTCTTTATGGTGCAGGGAGCTACCAAGTGAAAGGTGCGGCAGTCTGATTGCATAAAGATTAACTAAACACCAAAAAACCCACACACAAAACAATCCTTTTTGAGTTGATTCTAACTCATAGTATGAGGAGGAGAAATGCCCTAGAGCAATGGCTCTCACCCTGCCTAATGCCGTGACCCTTTCATACAGTTCCTCATGTTGTGGTGACCCCCCAACCATAACATTAATTTCATAACTGTCATTTTTCCACTGTTAGGAATGGGGTGACCCTGTGAAAGGTCATCCGACACCCAAAGTGGTCGCGATCCAGTCTGAGAACCACTGCCCTATAGGGTTTCCAAGGCTGTACGTTCATACAGAAGCAGGTTGCCATATCTCTCTGTCCTGGGGCAGCGGAAAGGCTCAAGCACCACTGATCTCTTGGTTAGTTGCCTGACAATTTCCCACTGCACCACCAGAGTTCCTTGTTCCATGACGAAATCTCCAGGGACAGTTCTATGACCTATAGGGTCACCATGAGTTGGAATTGATTTGACTTTTGGTTTAATGTAAAGATCTCTGTTATCACACTGTCTTCTTTCTCCTAACTCCTTTTCTCTACCTTTTAAAATATCCTCTCCATCTCTTAGTTAGAATTAACCACTACCCTTTCACCTCCCCAAACCAATAGAACTCGAGGGAGGGCCCCACTAACCTGTTCTCCGGTCTCTCCTGCTCATCTGCAGGCGCCTGCAGCCTCTGTGGGTGGTCTGATGACTGCTGGTATCACCGCTCTTCTTTCTTCTGCACACTCACAGCCTCTGTGGTGTCCGTGCTGTACTGGGCAAGAACCTGCCCGTTTCTGTGTGCTGGTCCCTAGGCCTCACTGCATCCTTGTCAGATGAATGTCGGATGAGGCCCCTGTCTTTCTCCCGCTCTTCTCCAGGGCTGTGACTAATGATGTAGCCTTTATAGTCGGACCTGTGCTTGGTCATGCCCCCTTGCTCTGCCCAAGCATTGCTGAATAAGAGTACCAGTATATTTCTGGTCTTGGATATACAGTACGTTTATTTAAAGTACTTAGCCTGCTTTATTTCATTTTTAATTTTATTACTAGCCCCTATCTGGATCCAGTGTTGACTATGCTTGCATAGAGCAGCCTGTGTTAGGGCACATAATATATATGCAGTGTTGTGTATACACTGTGTTACTGAATGTGTTGCGTTAACATTTCCCATATGTGGTAATGCTATGTATGCAGTAACGCAGCGCATGCAGTAACACACTGCGCACACAACGCAGCATGTATGTTATGAGCCCTAACACAGGCTCCTCTATGCAAATAGTCATGTCGTCAAATTCTAGAATATCATCAGCCTGCGTTAGGCCTCAAACTATACAAGCTGTGTTGTGTACATGCGGTAAGGCAGCGTATGTAATAATGCAGCGCATTCAGTAACACAGTGTGTATAGTTACCAGTATTATTGATACCATATTGTTTTTGTTGACCCACTTTTCCACTTACAAAACTAGTTTACTGTTTTTCTTTGAAATATTCAGAAACATTTAACCTACTGATGCCTTAATATAATTTTATTGGTATCTATTTTTATTTTGAAATGTACCAGAAATTGCTGCATTTCCCATCCTAGGCTTATAACCGAGTCAGTAAGTTTTCCCAGGTTTTGTGGTAAAATTATGTGCCTCAGCTTCTATTCGAGTGGGCTGATACTCAAGTATATACCGTAAAGTGGAACTTAGCATTGATTTCATAATTATTTTGTGCTAGGTAGAAGTCATGTAGTCATTTTGATTGTAAGCAACAGAACTCAATTAGAATCCCAAGATCTCTTGGAAATGTTGAAAAGCAAGGATGTTACTTTGACAAGCAAGGGTGCCTACCCCAAACCATGATATTTTCAATCGCCTTGTATTCATGTGAAAATTGGACACTGAATAAGGGAGACCAAGAAGAATCAATGCATTTGGATTATGGTGCTGGCAAAGAGAATACCATGGACTTCTGAAAGAACCAACCAATCTATCTTGGAGGAAGAACAACCAGAATGCTCCATAGATGCAAGAATGGCTTGACCTCATCCCGTACTTTGGAGGTGTTCTTAGGAGAATCTAGTACCTGGAAAAGGAAATCATGCTTACTAAAGAAGAGGAACAGCATAGAAGTTTTAGCTTTGATATGTTTTCCTTTACCTATGTTAAAAACGTGCTTGTGAAGATGGCATTTTCCCTCCACTAATTTCCTTTGGAGTCATTCACTGTAGAAGTAGTAAAGTAAAGGCTTTATCTTCCGTGGAAGCAGAGAGAACTCAGAGCCAGTATTCTTGGTTACCTATATCAATTGACATTGAATTTTTAATATTATCACCTTTGCTTTCTAATTCCCTTTATTCTTCTAGTCTATGCAAGGAAAATTATCTAAAGAGAAATTGACTACTCAAAGGATGGTGGAAGAACTAGAAAAGAAAGAAAGAAATATACAGAGATTAACACAAGCATTGCATGGGGTGAGTAGAATAAATTTGAATTATTTTCAAAGGATGATTCACTGCCTATTTAAGTTTAAACCAATGTTTATTTTATTATTTAAAATAATTGAAGATTGATGGTCGAGTTAACAAAACCCATTAAATCTCTTACCTAAGATATAATTAGAAAGACAAACATTTTTATGCTGTAGATAAAATTTCATATACTTGAACTACAACAGAATAAAATATTATGTAGAGATTAGGTCCAAAGTACTCAAAGAAGACATCCATTGAAATGAAAAAACACAGTTACCCTCATCTCAGATGCTCGGAATGAAGGCACATATAGTTGGCACTTCATTATTTCATCACACTTTCCTCATTTGAATAGATGAAATATACAAAAATATATAATTTCCCCCTAAACATTTATTGATACCTCATCGATATGATACAGAAGTCCTGGTGTCCCAGTGGTTACATGTTGGATAGCTAACCACAGGTCAGCATTTCAAACTCACTAGTCATTCCATGAAAAAAGGTTGTTTTGAGCCAGAATCTACTCAGTGGCAGTGGATTCGGAGTCCACATGGTTGCACAGTGGGCTGCTAACCAAAGACTGGCAACTTGAACTCACTACCTGTCCCTCTCAGGAGCAAGATGAGACTGTTTGCTCCATACAAACATACAGCCTGGGGATCTGTCTCCTCTGCCTCGTAGGGCTGCAACGAGTCAGCATCAGCTTGACAGAACCCTATGCAAACTGCCCCCGCTCTTCGGCGGTGCTTTCGTGGAGTGGCTGTTGGAATGATACTCTAGTCAAGAATGATACACTACATTTTACTGTTTGATATATTTATAAGACTCTCTTTTCCCCCCACGGTGACTTTTAAAGAAACTGCACCTTATAGACACATAGGTTCTCACTCTTGCTAGCTTTATCCAACTGCTTCCCCACAGAGTCATTTAGCTTGTTCTCAATTCCTGTGCATTTCTTCTAAGTTAAAGTTAGAACAAAAGATGTGATGCAATTCAGATCACACATTTTTTGCATGAATACTTTGTAGATGTTGTTTATATCCTGGGACATATAATTTTTGGTTATTTAGCTGTGACATAAACAGTGATCATGGGATTAAGATGGTGACAGTCTGATTCTATTAGCAGTGGCATTATTTGGTGAACGGGGGTGTGGGGGCTGCAGCCCACAGTGGGTCACAACAAAATACATAATTTTTGTGTAATATTTCAGCAGAAAATATCGTTTATTAAAAAATATTTTTTATTAAAAAACTAACCTTGCAGTTAGTTATAGCAACAACATTTTTGTAAGCCTAGCTTATGAAATAGTCCTACACGACTCAAATGCTATGTATGCTACTTTACTTTTGGAACTGTCTAGCATACTCCAACAGAGTCATCAGTATTACCCAGTCACAGTCGCTCTTTGAATTGCTTGGTTGTGCCTGCCCACTGGGCCAGCACACACTGTTGTTTTCATGACTGCTGGCGGTTTCATAGTCACTGGTTTTGTCAAACAATCTTATGTTTCAACCTGAATGTCGTGTCAATTAGTATTTATGAACCTATATAAATAACTACTGAAACTTAAGAAGTAACTTAAAAATTTCAGACTTCCTTTCAGTAATGAATAATGTAGTTCAATGTGAAAAGATTTTACAAAAATTGTTAATATTTATATAAAGAATATACTGCATTTCAGCAATGTATAACTACACATAACACATTATGCTATGATTAAAATATCTAATAAACATTACTAAGGAATCTGTATGGGAGGAGGTCCGCTGTGAGTTCCTGCACTGGGTGACAACAACCAGAGTGACACTGCTGTCCCTTTATAAAGTTATAGCCAGTAACTAGCAAGTAATCTGCACATATCAACTGTGTGAATATGTACTTTTACAGCAAAAGGTCCCTTAATACTGTTAGCATCTACTCATGATCAGTGTCCGAAATACTAGAAGGTTAGAAAATAGTGATTTTTCCCCTAATTATATCATTCTTTATTTCAGTTTTTGCTGGCAGTTGTCTCTAAAAGTGATCTATCCATCATCAGTCCAGCCTTATCTGAAATATAATCCCAAGTAGAGAGTTAATTAAACTGCGTTTTAGGTAGCTATTTGAAGGATGAGAAATCCGTAGCTGGTGATGATTTGGCCTGGGGTGTGGCTACTTTTCCCTGAGTGTCAGAACAGGAGTTCATATTGATGCTGTCATTCGATTTAAGAATTTGGGTGGTTTTCTTTCTATCTTTGATTTTATACTTATATATTTTTTCTCTTAACACTTGAAATTTTTGATTGCTATCAACAGTTGATTTTTTTTCTCAATGTACAGAAAAATAGTTTCAAGGTAACTGCATTACTATTACTAGAAGCAATAAAGCTATAGAAAGAGGTTTAAAATTTCTTAATAGTTCTTGTTGTCCTTGGCATGTAGGAAAGATGTCAACTACCCAGATACTGATGATGTGAGAGTGTGAGGGACCCTCAAAAGTGTAAGACTGTTCAGATGCTTGTCAACCTGGGGTGTCCCTGTGGAATCACTTCCACTATTTGAATGGTTACTTCTCGCGGTTTATTTTTCACTGTGTATACAGTTGAATGTGCAGACAGATTGACACCACTGTTTTCTTTTTAGCCTTGCGGCCGGGAGGCTTTTGAGTACCTTTCTTCTGGCCTAACAACCTAATGTCTGTTTTCTTTACCGGGTACAGAACCAAAGACAAACAGAAGAGACCTGCTCTTCGCTGGATCAGAGTCAGGAAGCCGGCCAATCTAGGCAGCAGGCAGTTCCTTCCAAATGGCCGTTATTTGATTTGACTGTGATTGATCAGCTGTTCAAGGAAATGTCCTATTGTTTGTTTGACCTGAAAGCATTGTGTAGCATTCTGAATCAGCGTGCTCAGGGCAAGGAGCCTAACCTGTCACTATTACTGGGAATCAGATGTAAGTGGCTGACGACTTGTCCGTACTTATTGCTTAGCAGTTAGGAACCTGTCTTCATGAGTCAGCTGTTTAATTTTGCCATCTTCTTTCACTGGCTCATTCAGTGGGGTTATGTGTGCCTATTACTACTTCATCATTAGAACTAACCTGACTATACATTAGAAGTGGACAGGCTTTTTGTCAGTGTGATCTTCCACTTGGCAGATTGGCAGATACATAGGAAGAAATCTGCTGTGTGGAGGAGCAAGGAGATGTTTCCTGTGCTGAATCTATAAATATGATTAGAGTGGTAGTTACGTGTGATAACTTGATAGAGTCTCTGATCCTGACTAAGGTATATTAACTATTCTTCCATGTGGTAATTTTATAAATTAATTTTCCAGCCATAATTCCCATTGGTAAAATATTTCAGGATGGAAATACTTGCTTTCCTATGGAGAGCGACAGTGGCTTAAAGTGACTGTCAACAGTCCACTAGCTGTTTCCTTGTCCTGTGATGCATGTCTCCTTTCAGCCAACCCTCCCTCGGCTTCATATTTGCCTGCATCCACATGTGCTCTGGGATCTGCACCACAGGACCATCCAGGTTTCCCTTCCCTGCTTGCTTTTATAGGGACACGCCCTTCTGCATAGACTTTCAAAATTGTCCCAATAATGACATGTTGGCCTCTCTTTAATACAGAAGAAATGGACTTAAGAGACCAGAATGCAGTAAGACCACATTGTAATACATTTTATGAAAGAGCCTGTATTTAGAAACTGCCTAATAATGTGGTTAGCTAAAGTGTGGGCTCTAATTTTATTTCCAGTTCCATAAAAAGTTTCCACTATCCTGTCTTATAATGATTTTGGGAAACTATGCTCTCGATTAGAGATATTGAGGATTTAGAAAACAGGCAATTGAGAAAGCCCACTCACTTTATGTTAACACCTTCATTAAGAAATATAGGTAATGTAGTCATTAATTGTGATCATCCAGGCCTGTCTTTGGATATCTTACTTGAAAATGTGCTCACCCATTTAATTTTTTAAGCTCTCAGGGTGTTTGGGTTTTTTTTAAGCATCACTTGTTAACTGAAACACGTAGCTCTCTGTGCTTCTCAGAGATGTCAGTGGAGCCTTTGTCTGTACTTGTGTTTCTAGGTGTGTGTCCCACATGTATGAGTGTGTAAAAAGATACACTGAATGTTTAGATATAGTCACTCACTTAATAAACTTTCTCAAATATCCAGTGTGGCCCAGGCACGAATGGTACACATTAGTCAGGTGCTAGGAAAGTAAATAAACACTGCCTTTGCCCTCACATTTAGCAAATTATTAGAGTGTTGTAGTTGTACAGTGACGCACAAGAAGAAAAGAATAGCAAAAAGACTTTGAAGGCTCCACAGAGTAGCTGGCAGGTAGCCTGAATCTTAGAGGATGAGGAGTTTGCCAGGTGAAGAAGACTGGTTTCATTGAAACACTCTCTTGAGAACCACAAGAACAAGCTCACAAGTAAGACATGTCTGTACCAGTTTAGAAATGGTTACTCTTCTGGTTGTTGTATAACCTTACACATTTACATTATACTAGTAGCATTTGATAACTTCTTCAAGTAGTAGGGTAGTGGAGCTATCTTAATATGAATAAAAAGTGATTCAAGGTTCTTATCACCTTTTGCTCCCAATGCGTACTCCTTTCAGTCTTTAAAAATCCAAACCCAGAATTTTTATCTTGTTTAGTAATGTGAACATTTGAGTGTTCAAATTCTTTTTCATCTCACGGCCCCATTGACTGTTTCTTGACCTTGCTCATCCTATTATCCTTAAAACACTGTTACGTAAGAGGGTCCCACCCTCCCCTCATTTTTCAGGTTTTGCTTTTTTCTGATTACTGAATCTCAGTGTGCTATGAACTTTTCGGCCACTTTAGTATTGGTGTCCCGCAGGAACTTTTTATTGTTAGACTACTGCTTATGCTGCTGCTCTACCTCTGACCCCAACAGTTATCTTGCCTCGATGGTATTCACCTGAGTAGTAGAACAGGACTACTTATAGGCATCACAAACTCAGCATGTCCAAACCAGGAAGCCACTTTTACTCCCTCCTTCAAACCCTGCTCTGTTAAGCCAGATTGTATTCCCACCTCTTTTACCTCCATCTGTGAGCCGTGCTCGGCCCCTAACCCCTGCCTACGTTGATGGTTGAACTCGGTGAGGTGGATTTCACCTCTTTATTACACTTATTCTCGTCATGACTGCCTTCATTCTGGCTTCCGTGGCCCTTCCTTCTCCTGGGCTGCTCACTCTGTAACCCAGCTTCCCCACTTCCTCCAACTTCTACCCCAAGCATTCTCATTTTACCTCCTTCCTAAGCCGCAAATCTGACTTTCTAAGGTTTACATGTGCCACTAGTAGGGAAAATAGGTGTCTGTCATCTACTTCTCTAGCCTGTGTCTTGACACTGCACTTTCATAATCTATGCTCCACCATTTAGGGCTGGCGACTGATCTTGCTGAACTTCTCGCTTTCGGTCAGACCATTTTATTTTCCTGTCTCTACCTTTGTTCGTTCTTCCTAGCCTGCCCAGGGAACACATACCCTCCAACTCCCAGTTAGACCTGATGGCTCTCTTCTACCATTGTAACTCATTTGTGCTGGTAGATCATCTAGAAAACTTCATTTAGAAAATGAAATCCTGTGTTAGCTTCTGGATCTCAGCATCTAGCGTAGTTCCTAGATAATGATAGATGTTTAATGAATTTTAAAAATAAATAAAATTAGTCATGTGATCTCTATACTTCCAATAAACTACTGGAGCCAGTGAAGGCATAGAAAAGATTCATTTCACTGTCACTAGTTCTGTGTGATTTATCTTGAGATGTGTTTATAAAAAGAGGAACATGAGTAAATAGTTTTAAAATCTAGTTGATATGAAGCTTTACTCTTCGTTATTAAGTCATTGGGCATTTGTCTTTCAGCTTGATTCACTTGTTTGTAGAATCCCACTGGTCAATCTATATGCTACACATCATTCTTAGACATACACTTTAACCCATAAATGCACTTGGTGATCTCTCTGACCTCACCTGTGCACAAGGTTTTCAGACTTTGAAAATGGAAGCGCGGAGTGACTTACCTGAATAAAGTTTCTTTTTACTTTTGGAATGCTGTCCTTTACTGAACATGTATTTTCTGGTACAGGGCTATGTTGATAAGATCTATTATTGCATGGGGCTTAATCTAAACCTGAACATTACTGTGAGTTAGTGTACGGCATTTGTTAAAGGTCTAGTGGTGATTAAAATGAAAACCTTCAAATATCAGAAACTTGAGAAAGTCTCTTCATGCTTATTTCCCCAGCAATGAACTGTTCACCTGAAGAGACTGAGAAGGACCACAGCCCAGAAACACTCACCAAGAAACTGTCAGATGTGTGCCAGCTACGGAGGGACATCGACGAGTTACGGACTACGATATCCGACCGCTATGCTCAGGACATGGGCGACAACTGCATTACCCAGTGATTGAGTTGGACCCCACAGCAATAATGAGACTTGCTAAGTGCCGCGGTGTTACGTTTCTTCGTGTTTCTTTCAAGGAGCCATCATGGAAGGTGGCAAGGCACATGAGACTTGCACATAGGTGTTTTGTTTTTGTTTACCTTTTCTTTCCCCTGTGAATTTTATACTGCGGGGGATGGGGGGAGGTGTAAGAAAGTCTTTAAAGGGTTTGTCTAATCAGGCCCCCAAAAATCAATTTATTATTTGAAAAATGTGATAAAGTATTTAAGAAGGAAAAAATCTGTATTCTCAACTACTGTGTGTCAGACCAAGCTGTGAAGAGTACCCTCAGAAAGAAGAAAAAAGGAGCAGGGTTTCTTTTGATCCTCTAGGGTTCTTTTTGTTTTGTGCCTGTGTGCTGTCTTCCTGAAATTACAAGGATTTACAAGGTCAAGGCAGTGCTTCTGCAAAGGGCACATGCTGCTGCCGCCCGAGCTCTTGTTCCCACAGAAGCATGTGTGGGACCGTGGGGGTTTGAGGGTTGCTAAACCAGAGTTCTAACCGCGGGCAAGTATTTGAATAGTAGTCCAAAAAGCAAAGCCATTTGTATTTGTAATAATCACTGTGCTGAAACGATGAGCTTGTGGAGTTGGGTTGATTTTAGTACTGCTGCTAAGCCGTGTTTTCTAGAGGGACTGTGGACTGCCTTAGAGGTGGGAAATGGTGAAGCAGTGGAGTGGTGTTTTTTTTAAGCATAGTAATTTAGATTACAAGGCAGTTTAACATTACTTAAACTAATTTTTAATATGCCCTTTGCTATTTTACAGTGTTCTATTTATATGTTTTGTATATCAGTGTAAACAAAGCCATATCATTAGTGCAGACTTAAGTAAGGCCTCCTATCATTATTGTAAAAGATGACTAAGACAGTGACTCTGGAACGGTACCTTATTTATTGACTCTCAGCGTTCACCCTGTAACACTTTTGTGTCTGATTATTTAAAGTCAAAACTACTTTCAGAGAAAGCCCGTATGTGATCTTTTTATATGAATATTCACTATCATAAAACAACACCCAAACTTTAGCTGATACTTTCATTCATTTTATCTGGTAAAGTCCATTAAAAATACAGTTTCTCATCAAGTATTACCATGGCCAGGTTATCTCTGCAATAGGAGTACAGGGTATTACTCTAAAATGCAACTGATTTTTAAGAAGATTTAACTAAACTTTCAAATGGGCGGTATTGTTCCTTTGGTAGTTGGCACTTTATGGGCACGCTGCCTTGTATTGCCTGAGAGCATCCACTGCACTCCTTGTAATGGCAACTCTTTGTCCTTTGCAAGATGTGATTTCTTGATAGACAAACATTATTTATAGCAAAACTTTAAAAGTGGTATAGACATGAGGAGTCGCAATCAAGCAAAATACTGTTTTGGTCAGGAGCCAACCACATTTCTGTTGCCTTGCCGGCTCCTGGGCAGGAAGGGTGCCCCTGGAAAAGAACTCTTTGAAATCCGTCCCGTGTTGGAAACATCCAGGGGGGAGTCTAACGCCTTGAAGGAGACCATTCCAGAAGGCAGTTTAGATTTTCAGTGTATAAGGCAGTTCTCAATAAGGTGTGATTCAGCCATAGTACACTGTAAAGGCACCAGATTTCCCTTCTGGTCAGTGTCAGTGCTAGCTAATATTCTGACTGACTTTTTAGGATCAGGGCACTAAGAAAAGACAGCACTGTAGTCATTGTGCACCCGGCGTCCCTAACCTGTAGAAAAGACTGAGTCGCCGTAGGAATATGTCTTTCTAATGTCTTCATTAGTTTTTATTAGTAGTGGTTTGAAAGCAATCAGGGAATAGTAAATTTGTACCAAAAATCTCATGCAAACAATTCTGCTGTACAAGCATTTACATCTGTGAAAGTACCCCTTTACCGTGAGTGGATTCTAGCACCTAAAGCAGATGAGGCGAAAGTACAACAAACACCTCTTATCTTCTCTTTGAGCAGAACTCTTCCCTCAGCTCCAAGAGTAGAAACTAAGATACCCTAAAGCGATAGTAATACTGGGCAAACAATCAATGATGTGGGCCACCTCTTCTTTAAATATCTTCTAGGCTTTAAGTGTGTATTTGGGGGAGTTGTATTGTTGTTTAGTATTGTCATTTGACAACACTATTGTCATTTGACTCAATTTGTAGTACATTTTTGGTTTACTGGTTTAGTTGGGATAAAATAACTTTTTATTATTTAATATGTTTTCTAAAACAACACATTTCACTTGAGATAAAAATTTTTTTAACTTAATGCATTTCAGTTTTCAAAATGCATATCACCTATGAAAAAGGGGAGCTAAGATTTAACTTTTTGGAATCTGGAGTTTATAAGGGAACTAGCTAGGTAAGACAGTCTGTAAGGAAAAGAAACTAATAAAAGTATTCTGTTTTTGTCAGTATTTTTATTTTTCAGAAAAAAAGCCCTCTTCAGAGATCTCCCCTCCCCTTGGAATAATTACAATATTGATAATCTCTTGAAAACAAAAATATTGCTGATGGGCCAAGAAAGATGGGCAAACAAAAACACGAGCGTTCTGCCCCAGTGTAAACGGTGCTGTGCACAGAATGTCCTTTAGTGATTGAGGGGGAAATGAAAAGTAGCCTGAGTCCTCACATAAATCTAGGAGGACACTTCCTAGGACAGGGAGCATCTCCATAGTTAGGCTGGTTGGGATTACAACACTGCCTCTTAGGGAGTTTCTCGTGCAGTGTTACTATTGTCATGGCCGGTGGACTTTGAAGTTGACTAGGCCTCAGGCACGGCAGAGCAGGGCCGGAGCGGCAGCTGGGTTGCTAGAGGTAGATGTTCCCAGTGCAGGTCCAGCGAATAGAGTCAGAGGCCGAGTAGTTGCCTTTTCTTTTGATGTCAGAAAAGTAGGATGACTTTACACTGTTGGTAAATTTCAAGTGGCTTCTAATTTTTAAAAGCCTAAGTATTGACTAGGTAAGATATGCATGGATTTGTTTTAAACTAAATAGCACTCCTTTTCATATTTAAAATAGGATTCAGTATTTAACGTCAACAGTATTATATTTTAGTGATTTATTTTGGTCATGATAACTTACTAAACTGAATTAGACTTCTTTTGGTAGCTTTTTAGAAATAATTTCAAGGGCTGGAAAGTATTACTAAAAGGGATATTGTACATTTCTGACTTATTAATGAGATTATAAACTAATTTTGACATCGTTCAATACTTAATAGGAATTTCTTACAAGATGTTTTAAAGGAGCTACTTTTTTGGATAAAGTAATCTTCCTTGAAATAGTTCATTGAGTAAAATACTGGCCGAGAAGTAGGACTACACTGTTTACACAGCATAGTTCAGCGCAGGCACAGTTTAGTTTGGATTGCAACTATGGCAACACACAGTCCTCGTGACCTTGCTCATTCAGACCCTATCCTTTGAAACTGCCAGGAACTGTAGCACTTAGCACCAAAATTAATTCTAGTTGTTTCCCCAAATATATTTTGAAATTTATTTTCATTGTTCAGAAAACAAGAGATACTATTTGGGATAAAGAGTAAAACTTCTGATTTCACCTCAAAATGTCATTGCTGTGTGTATCATGTATTTAATCATGAAGAGGTAAAGATTTTGAAGTTGTTATTTAAAAGAAATTTTGACTTAGTAAGAATGTGGTTTCCAATCACTAACTCATTAACATCATCATTGCCACTACATGCAGAGAGAACCTTTTGTGCCTTTCTGCCTGCAGGAAGCATTCATTTCTATGTTACATGAGCTGTAAGAATGTTGAAAAGTATTGCACCTGTTCTTCTGTAAATACACTTGAATAGGATTTTTTTTTAACAAGGAGCGGTTATTTTCACTTCTAGGGATATAGAACAAACATGAGCAGGGTATCAGACATACATGTCTTTTCCCTGTTTGGTGAGCAGGAAACTTCCTTGGGATGTACTCGTTTGTGTGTGGTTGTGTGTACATAGATGTATAGTTATTTAAATAAGTAAGCAAAAGTGAACATCACACTGATGTGATGATGAGAAACAGTAAGGTGCTAGGTGGTTACATGAAAAGCACAGCTGAGGGTCTGTCAGTCACAATGACTGGTGGTTTTGTAAACTAGGTTCAGTTTTTGAACCACTCACAATACCTCATGTGTAAATACAGTGGTCATGAGTTAATGGAAATACAGTTATTGTAAAAAGAATGTGAAGCCACTGGTTGGCTTATATGCCTTCTGACCTATTATTCTTGCCTCTTTTTTGTAAAGGGGCTCTTCTCCCCTCCCCCCACCCTTTATCAAATAGGGTTTACAGCTAGAATTTTGAATGCCAAAGTTCTATTTATTAAACAAAAAAGTTTTCAATGTTAATGGCTAGTATTTTTCCACTGGAAAAAATTTGTTTGTTGGTGTTTGAATTTGTATTTACAGAGAAATAAATTTTTTATAAAAAGATTTCTGTCTTCCAAGTGCTTACATGTTAATATAAAAATTATTTGAAATTTCAGATGCTTTATGAATTCTCAATGACAACAAGCTGTTTTCAGATAAAATCTCATAAATACACAAGATGTTCTTTGACTAGAATATGGAGAAGTATATCTTCTCAGTTTGTACTAATTTTTTTAAGTCATTGCATTGTTGAGTTTCTTCAGGCCTTCAAATGAAGAGTGTAGCGATTTTCTGACAAGGAGTGTTGTAAAAACAAAGCCACGAGAGAAGAGGGCCACCAGATAGGTAGCTCACGCCTGGAGTTCTGAGGAGATCGGAGCTCCAAGGAAATCGGTGAGTAGGGAGAGTTGGGGGCGGAGTAGGGGTATCAAATTTGTCTGTTCGATTCCCAAGACCACTCAGAGCATCTCTCGGACCCAGAGGTGGACTCCCACCCATAGTCAGGGCTCTGCACGGACACCCATGGTCTGGTGCGGCGCTCCGCGCACCAGCTCTGCCGGAATCTAGCCACAAGGCAGCCAGGTGCATGGCGGAAGCTGTGCCTGCCTTGGCGCTCCGCGCAAAACTGCCAGTCAGTAACCCCGACCCCGCATCAGGGAACCTGGGGCCCGTGTGTGTGCTCCAACCAGCATACTCCCTACCATCTGCAGATTGGGGCCCCACCAGGGCACCCCTCGTGGTCCAGCAGGCCAGACCCTCCCCCCACCTTCCTCCCAGAGGTTCCCTCCTGGCGCCACAGTCAGGCAGAAGGCAGAGACTGAGGTCCTGCCTCTGGGCTCCGTGCAAACCGCCTATCAGACCTGCCTGCATGCTCAGAGGTCCCAGCACAGAGGAGCCCGCCCCATCACTGTACTCCTTGCAGATCTGCCAGCCATCCCCCCCGCCCCCCACGCATGCCTGTGCACACACAGGCACACACACGCACTCAGAGATCCCCATCCTGCCACACTGCTTCAGGCTGGCCAGGCAGAGGACACAAGTCTGGCAGAACTTTCTGCAGCTGCAGCATAGGAAACCAAGCTTCTGGGGATTTCTCACTGAATTCTCCCTGATCACTGTCCCACCCTTTGGGCTCCAAGAGGTACATTTGCACACCAGTCATGGCCCCCTTCCCACCTGCCTACCTGAGGGAAGTGCCCCTAGCCAGAAACAGATCACTCAATCCCCAACCCATCCCCTAAATATGCCCCCCCCCCCTTTCTGGGCCAATACTTTCTTTCAGACTGCAACTTGCACAGCTGCAAACAGCCCCTAAGGAGACCTGAAGGTGGCTGGAGCACAAGCCGTAGGAGAAGGCGAGAGGGCATCCCCAGCAGGACAAAGGTGAAACAAGCCCTCAAGGTAGTTGGATAAAGGCAGCAAGCTGAAACATCAACCTCCCAAAGAGAGCTCAGGGCTCTGAGACACCTGGGTAAATGGCACCAAGTGCCCACAAAGTGAACAAAAAACAGCAAGCTGCTTCCACAGCTTCAACAAGAAAAGAGAAATAAAATCCAATGCCAGAGGACCACCTGGACCTAACAGCAGTCATAGAAAAGGCAGAGGTTGATCTCCCACAGAAAGAAATCTTCAGAATGCTGCCTGGAGCCATACAGGACATGAGGGAAACATTACAGAAAAAGGATGAAATGATAGAAAAATTAAAGACTATGCACCAAAGGGAAATACAGGAGTTAAAGGGTGAGATAACAAAAACTAACAACAAACTCATGGACTTCGCCCAGAGAATGGAGGAGGCAGAGAACCGCACCAGGGACCTTGAGGATTCACAAGCAGAAATTAATAAACAAGAGAAAAAGTCTAACAAGTCCATCAAAGAAGCTGAAGAAAACCTCAAAATTATCGGCTTACAGGAAGAATTCACAACAAGGAAACCAACATCCAAAATAGTGATGGAATGCTTGGAGGAAAACTTTCCTAACTTTTTTTTTTTTTAAACATTTTATTAGGGGCTTATACAACTCTTATCACAATCCATACACACATCAATTGTGTAAAGCGCATTTGTACATTCATTGCCCTCATTATTCTCAAAACATTTTCTCTCCACTTAAACCCCCGGCATTAGGTCCTCATTTTTCCCCTCCCTTCCTGCTCCCCCCTCCCTCATGAGCCCTCGATAGTTTATAAATTGTTATTTTGTCATATCTTGCCTTGTCCGACGTCTCCCTTCACCCACTTTTCTGCTGTCCATCCCCCAGGGAGGAGGTCACATATAGTTCCTTGTAATTGGTTCCCTCTTCCCTACCCACTCTCCCTCTACCCTCCCTGTTTTGCCACTCACACCACTGGTCCTGTAGGGCTCATCCACCCTGGATTCCCTGGATTTTCAGTTCCTATCTGTACCCGTGTACATCCTCTGGGCTAGCCAGACTTGACTTTCCTAACTTAATGAATGAAAACCAGGCAACTATGCAGGAGGCTGAAAGAACATCAGCTAGATTGAATCCCCAGAAGAAGTCACCAAGACATATAGTTGTTAAACTATCCAAATATGAGGAAAAGGAGAACATTATGAGAGCAGTTAGAGAAAGACAGACAACCACATATAAAGGCAAGCAGGTAAGAATATGCTCAGACCTGTCAGCAGACACTATGAAGAAGAGGATACAGTGAAGCAGCATATTCCGAAAATTGCAGGAAAATAATGCAAACCCAAGAATACTCTATCCAGCCAAATTATCAAAATAGATGGAGAAGTGAGAGTCTTCCTGGACAAGGAAAGCCTCAATATGCTAAAAGGAACCCAGCATTACAAAAGATCCTTGCTGACCCAATATGGGAAGAACAACACTCACTAAGCACATACAACTCCACCACCACACAGAACAACTCCACCCAGAGACCATCAAAGAGAAAATAGCCCCCAAGATAAAACTGGCACAACGATGGAAAGAAGGCAAGAATGAACCGCAAACACACATATGCACAATCCACGGGAAAGAAATGGAGGTAGGAAAACACCCAGCAGGAGAGATAAAATGACATCACAGGGTCCAGAGATAGATGTAATAACCCTGAATATTAATGGGATGAACTCAGACCTTAAGAGACAGAGGCTAGTAAACTGGCTTGGAAAACACAAACCCTCGATCTGCTGCCTACAGGAAACACATCTCAACATTACAGATAAAAACAGGCTGAGAATCAAAGGATGGGGAAATTATCAGTCAAATTCTAATACAAAAAAAAAGTAGGGGTTACAATCCTAAGCTCAAATAAAATGGACCTCCAAGTGCAAACCATAAAAAGAGATAAGGATGCTCAAGGGAGCATTCCATAAAGAACCAATAAGCATTCAAACATTTACTTGCCAAATAAGCATCAAGCAGAATATGTCAAGCAAACACTTCAAAGGATGAAAAATGAAATCAGAGCCTCAACAATTATAGTAGATGACTTCAATACACCGCTCCCTGAGAAAGATAGAGATCACTCGGAAAGAAACTCAACAAGGAGACGAGATCTAAACACTACAATTAGACAATTTGACCTGCTAGATATCTACAGAGCTCTCCACCCAAACAAAAAAGAATTCACATTCTATTCTAGTCCACATGGCACATGTTCTAAAATAGACCACATGCTAGGGCATAAGTCGAATCTAAATAAATTCAAGCACATTGATATACAGACCTCTCTATGACCACTGTGCCAAAAGATTGGAAATAAACCAAAGGGAGATAAAGAAAGGGCAAACCATTGGAGAATGAATAGCTCTCTACTGCAAAAGGAGAGTGTACTGGCTCAGATCAAATATGAAATTAGGAAATTTCTAGAAACTGAGAATGAAAACACGACATACCCAAACTTATGGGACACAGCAAAGGCAGTCATCAGAAGTGGTCTCATAGCATTACATGCACACATAAAGAAGGAGAAGAGGCATATGATTGATACACTGACACAATTTACAGCAACTAGAGTGGAGTCAGCAAGAAAATCCAATTAATAGCAAAAGAAACATATGAATTAGATCTGAGATTCAGGAGAGAGAAAATAAAACTATGGGAAAAAATCAGTGCTGCTAAAAGTAGGTTCTTCGAATGGATAAATCGAATAGAAAAGCCTCTTGTGAATTTGACCAAAGAAAGGAAGGAACGCATTTCAATAGCAAGGATGAGGGATGAAAGAGGGAATATTAAAATGGACCATAGAAAAATCAAAAGGATAATTATACAGTACTATGAAGGACTGTACTCCAATGAATTAAAAAACTTGGAACACATGGATGAATTCTTAGAAAAACAATCCCTCCCCAGATTATCCCCAATGGCCATCAAAAACCTCAACAGACCCTTTTCAGTAGAAGAAGTAGACAAGGCTATCAAAGAATTAAAAACCAAGAAGGCTCCAGGACCAGATGGATTCAAGGGTGAATTTTATCAAGCATTCAGGGAAGAACTGATACCAATCCTACACAAACTCTTCCAGAACATAGAAAATGATGGCAAACTCCCAAATTCCTTCTATGAAGCTAGTATAACTGATACCTAAACCAGACAAGGATCCCACAAGAATTGAGAACTACAGACCAATTTCCCTAATGAATATCGATGCAAAAATCCTTAACAAAATACTAGCCAAGAGAATACAAAAATATATAAAAACAAATAATTCACTATGACCAAGTGTGATTCATACCAGGAATGCAGGGATGGTTCAACATACAAAAGACCATAAGTATTATTCATCACATTGAAACGAAGAAATATAAGAACCACACGATAATATCAATAGATGCAGAAAAAGCGTTCGACACCACCACCAATTCATGTTTAAGATACTCAAGAAGATAGGAATGGAAAGAAAATTCCTCAATACAATACAAGCTATATATGAAAAACCAGCAGCCAATGTGGTAGTCAACAGAGAAAAGACGAGATCAATTCTTCTGAAAAAGGACTAGACAAGGATGTCCCTTATCCCCACTCCTATCTAACACCGTGTTGGAGGTCCTAGCTAACAATATAAGGCAAAGAAAGGACATCAAAGGGATTTGC